GAAAAGACTAAGACCAAGACCGAAGAACATACCACCGCCGAAGGAAAGACTACTAAAGAAAAGACCAAGACCGAAGAGACTACTAAAGAAAAGACTAAGACCAAGACCGAAGAACATACCACCGCCGAAGGAAAGACTACTAAAGAAAAGACCAAGACCGAAGAAACTACTAAAGAAAAGACTAAGACTAAGACCGAAGAGCCTACAAAAGAAACTACAATTAAAGAAAAGACCAAGACCGAAAAAACTACCAAGACCAGTACCAAAGAGCCTACGAAAGTAACTACTATTAAAGAAAAGACCAAGACCGAAGAAACTACTACCAAAGAAAAGACCAAGACCAAGATCGAAGAAACTACCACCAAAGAAAAGACTAAAACCAAAACCAAGACAACCATTGAGCCTACCACCAATTGCGAAACTACAACCAAGTTTAGAACATCAACTATTTTCACAAAGACAGCTACCCATACTAGAGACTACGAACATCACTCCACTACCAAAGATAATGAACATCACTACACCACCAAAGTTGACGAACATCATACTAAAGATCGTGAACATCACTACACCACCAAAGATGATGGACATCATCACACTACCAAAGATGATGGACATCACTACACCACCAAGATTGACAAACATACTCAAGACCGCGAACATCATTATACCACCAAAGACGGCAAACCTCACTTCACTACCAAAAAAGACGAACATCACTACACCACCAAGGTTGACGAACATAATACTAAAGATCGTGAGCATCACTACACCACCAAAGATGATGGACATCACACCACCAAGACTCAAGACCGCGAACATCATTACACCACCAAAGACGGCAAACCTCACTTCACTACCAAAAAAGACGAACATAACCACACCACCAAGGTTGACGATCATAATACTAAAGATAGTGAGCATCATTACACCACCAAAGGTGGCTTAACTACCAGAGATGGCGAACATCACTACACCACCAAGGTTGACGAACATCACTACACCAAGGTTGACGAACATCACTATACTAAAGACCTCGAACATCATACCAAAGACTACGAAGATCTCACTACTATTTACCACCATACTAAACCACAACAACATTACACAACTATTTATTACCATACCAAAGCTCATCACCATGTCAAAGAAAAACATCATGCCAAAGAAAAGCATCATAAAGATAAGCATGATGCCAAAGAAAAACATCATAAAGAAAAGCTTCATCACAAAAAAAAGCATCACGGCAAAAAAAATCACGGAAAGAAACATTAAATAATTTCTAATAATTGTGACAATTTATATCCTGACAATATATTGATCTTATATTAGATGTTGCAGTCATAATGTTTTAATAGAGTTTTTTTTCAATTTTCAAAAATGAATCTCAAATTTTTTTAATTAATATACTGTAGTTTGATATATTAGTACTGTATTGTATTATCGAAATTTCAATAAAGTTGCTTATTTAAAAGAACAAAACTGCATTCTACTTTCAAAAAATTTTATAAAGCGTAATACCTAAATTTTGCCGCACATTGTTAAACGTCAAATGAACTAAAGATCTGTTAAAAAAACTAGATCAGTTTATAAAATTCTTAAAAATTACTTAACGTTCTGAAATACCTCTACCGCCCAGTAAAATACATAGTATAAGTATCTCATTAATTTTCTGTTCTATTTTTTTGTCAAAATCTGAATGATCATTTTTTTATAACATGTTCTCTTTGTTGTTTAATAATATGTTGTTTTTTTTCATTCTGAAAATGTTTACATCTTGCTTTTCAGACTTCTTTAATAATATAGATCCTTGATAGTTGGTAAAACATAATGGTAATAGTTGATTAGTAATAGATTTGTTGTTGTTTGTTTGATAGTTAATTGGATGAGAAGTTGCACTAAACAAGTATAAGATATAATGAAAACTAGTTAAAAAATAAAAAAGGCCTATTGAACATACACTCTGGTAGTTCTACTCCTATGAAGTATATTTTAAATATACTTTCTGAAAGGTCAAACTACTCTTCAAAATATATAATAGTATTGATGATTAGTATCTAATAAGATAGTGTGAAGATAAGATTTGGTTGAAAGTATATTAGAAAGAATTTTGAGACAAAAATTATAGATTTTGAATTGATATTGATTTGTTATAATTGATATGCTTTTGAAAAAAGTTAAAGTATTAGTTAGAAGTAAAAGATCTGATTTTAATATTGTTTAAGTACAATAAGAATGGATTATTTTTGTAAAACAGAAGTTTTGTTTATTTGTTTAATATATTGCCTTATTGGTAGTTATCTGTGTTAGTGAGTATAAAATGTATTAATAAGAGTCAATTATATTGATTTGTAATAGTTAAGAGTTGATTGACTGTGTTTTTGTATTGTGAGTATAAGTTTGAAGAAGGTACAAGAGGTTTGAAAAGTTTGTATTATGTTATGAATATTTGAGATAGTAAAAAAGTATGGATTTTGTATTTTTTGCTATGGTTGATAGGTAGCGGAAAAAAGATTTTATGATTTAATTTTGAATGTTTGATAAAGAAATGTTATTTTTTTATTTGTTGATAGAAAGATTATAATTATTGTATAAAGTGTAATAAGTAAGAATTTGAATTAATATTGATTGTATATAATTTGTGATGTTGAATAAGATTCTAAGTAACTGATATAATACCAATTTGATATTTATATAATATATTAGTAGAATTTCAAGAGTGGCGTTATTATATTGTAAAAGTAAGTTAATAGTAGATTATAATGTTGGTGAGGTATGTTTTTTGATTAGTAATTCATGTAAATTTGAGTAAATTAATATTTGTGGGTTATTATGAGATGGCTTTATAGAAAGTGTTTAAAGAAGATCATTTTTGGTTGCTTTTGTTATGATCATATTGTCTGATTGAGATCTGATAAAGAGGTTAAATAAGTTTATAGAAACTAGAAGTTGACAATTATGAGTACTTGTTTAAATGTTTTGTAAGCAGCTTTGATATTTGAAGAGTATTATGAATTTGTTGGAGTCAGAATTATTACAAGTTCAATAGTTGTATTTGTTTTTTGCTTTTTTTCTAATATTATTTTGTTATTGATAAGAGATACTAGCTATTTTTTTGTTTAATTTGATTGGAGTTGAGCCAGTTTGTTAAAAGCTTTGATATAAAAATAGTTTATATTAGAGAAGTATTTTTTTATAAATTTTTTTGTAAATATTAAATCCAAGTCTGGCTGAGATGTAATATAAGTTTGTAATAGTTATTCAATGTATTAAATGTGTTTTTTGAAAAGTTGATTTGCAAATGTTGATCAGTTTGAAAGATATAAAAGAAGTTTGTAAATAAATATATTTTCTTTAGAAGTTTATATGAACAGTTAGTTTCAAAACAGAATGAGAAATTGTAGTTTTTAGCAAGTTGTATTGTATAGATTATAGTGTTGTGTTTAAATATTTGTTAGTTTTGGAAAATACAATAGGTTGACAATTTTGTGTTTGTATAGTAAGGATTTCTTATTCCTTGCTATGTTTAGTTATAGAATTGGAAATGAGTATTGTAAATTGGAAATTAGAACTTTCAAATTGCACATCAAATATTGGTTTGATATTGAAAATGTGAAAGTTGTAGTATTATAATTGAAGAAGAGTTTTTTCTATATTGAATTTGTGTTTAATTGTTAAATCAATTTTTCTTTGGAGATTTTTAAGCATGTTTAGGATAAGAAAGATTGTTTGAAGTTTATATTCTATACATAAAAGAAGAACCTTATTGTAAATATATAATATTATGTGGCTTGTTGGATATTTGAATTTAAGTGATTAAGATTGTTTTTGTTTCTTTAGGAATTTTGTTATAATTAAATATAAAAATACTATACTTAGAGAACCAGATACCTAGTATTCTTATTGGTCTTTTTTTGGATAATAAAAGAATTAATGTTATTTCTTAAAAGGTTTTTTTGTTAGAGACTTTACTGTTTATGACTAGTAATTTGGTTTTTGTTGTACTAGTTTTGATAGAATTCTTTTGCAATGTTTAGGTTATTTTGAATTTCAAATTTTGAAGGTACAAGAAGATTGAGATTGTCCATAGTATTATGCTTTAAGTTTGACAGTTGTTGTATTAGGACTGTGATTAGTAAATTATAAAAGATAATTTACTAGAGAAATGATAATTTTCTTCTTGATCAATTCTGTTGGGAATTATAATTTGTTAAGTAAGACTGAGGTTTATTATTTTTTGGCATATGCAGTTTGTGAGAATATTATAAAGGTTTCTAATAGATATATTTTTTCATTGATTTTTTTAATATGTCCAAGTTTACTGAATCAAAGAATTGATTAATAAGATTCATAGTTCTTTTTGAATAAGTTTTTTAGAATTATAAATTAAGTTGAGAATTTGTATTGGTTTGAAAGTACTTTGGTTATAAATATTTGCAAAATTGGATTTTTGGAATATATTGTATATTGTTAAGATAAAACTGAATCTTTTGATTAGTATTTTGGTCAGGATTTCCTGAATAAGTCGATTAGGGCTATGGATCTTGTTTTTTAAATGTTATACTTTTATTGAAGTTTTTTGCTAATAGAAAATATGTGATAGTATTTTCAGTCTATTGGAATTTCTTGAAAGGAGAATATTTGATTAAAGATTATATAAAAGTGAAGAGAAGAATTTTTTGGGTTTGTTTTATAAAAAAATATGTTATTTTGGAAGAATTAGATGTCTTATTGTTAGAAAGTAAATTAATTGCTTCTGTGATTTTGTATTTAGTGATTGGGTCCCTTAATTAGGATTTCTAATGGTACAATTTTGGTACCAAGTCAGTACTGAATTTACTATAAGTTTAAAATAGTGGGTTACAACTCATATATTAACTTTATTATAAGTTGGTACCATTTCGGTACTTAGTTTGGAACCCTATCCTTAATGTATTATAAATTGTGAAATTAACATTGTTAAGTTAAATATAATGTTTTTCTATTTAGAGAGAAGTTAATTATCAATTATTCATTTGTAAAAGACTTTTTTATAATGATCTATAATTGTTTAATAAATTTGTATAGGGTTGTTATGACTTCTTAATTGATTGGGTCCATGATTTTTGTGAAAAAGACATAAAAGTTTTTGTGATTGACAGTTTGTTTAATTATGATTTTTGAAATTTCTTGGAGGTTTGCTATTTATTGATCAATAATTTTGCTAATTGTTTCTTTTCTTTGTAAAGCTTTTTTATCTTTAAGTGTTTTGAAAGTTATTTTGAAGAGTTTTTTAAGCAAGGTACTTTGATCATTTTTGTTTTAGTGGAAGAGTTTAAGATTTTTAAAATCTTTTAATATTGTATGGCTGATTGGATAAGGAGTTAATGTTAAAATATTATAGATATGGAATTTGATTATTTAGAGTTTTTGTAAAGCATTATATCATTTTTGTTGAAGATTTGTGATATATTTTTATGGATCTTTGTTTTTGGAACTGATTTATTAGATTTTTAATAATATTTGAATTGAAGAATCTCCAGGTTTTCTCAATGCTAGATTTCTTTGAAGAGCAAAATAAAACTTTGGTGATAGTTGTGTTTATTGTTTTCCAGGTTTTAAAGTTATTTTATTAAGATTGTAATAGATGAAAGTAGTTTTTTTAAGAAGTTTTATAAGAAGTTTAAAAATGTTAATGTAATAATTTTGTTATCACTATAAAAATCTAGTTCAGTATTGTTAGCATAAAAAAAGGTATGGATCATTAGAATTGCTGATAGTCACATGACATGGCGCGATCCATCAGGCCCTGCATCAAGAAGCCTAAATAGTCTAATCGGGGATTTGTAGGACACGACAGTATATCAGCAGATGCATCGCAGCGGATATAAATATGGGTGGATTAGCTAGCTAAAATAAAAAGTAAATATTCGTATTGTAAAAACTTGTACCCATTGTATTTACACGAGTATAATAAATAAACTTATCTTAATTGAATATTAGCTGCTGTAGGAATTCAAGAAGCCCATAAAGGATTGTGGTAGAGAATTAGACCAGTAATACAAGAGAAGGGAATTATTAACAAGTGCCTCTGGTTAGCAAGTAACACAAGCCCTACATACCTATCATTACATGACAATCTAGTTTGGATCAGTGACAGACTCGCCATGTACCGATAACAGTATTTATTATTTGTATTTTGGTAGACTGAATGACAATATTATTTAATATCCAGATTTGATTAATATAACTTTGACCAGGGTTCTAAAAATATGTATATGGTTTTGTAGAGAAAG